TCAAGTTAATGTTAAATGATTGCTTCTTCCTAAGCTGCTGTTGGTCTAAAGATAAATTCTTAGAACTCCAAAATTGCTAATTTGAGTTAAGAAATGTTATGCATTGTAAAGAGGAATACTGAATACATTTTTCTATCATTTCCATCTGTGTATACATTTAAGAATTACTGTAGTATCTAACCAAGAAAGCAGTTTGTATAGATACTATTTAGAAACATGAGTTATTGCATGTCATTTATTTATCTTTGAAACAATTTGAAGTTGCACTTTAAGGGTTAGAAAAACATGGCCTAAAAATATTTTAAAAGTCTTGTTACATATTTTTAGAAAAGTATCCTTTAGATATTTAAAAAAGAGACTTGCTGTATTTCCTACAGTAAAGTATTATGTTTGAAAGCTTTGAAATGTTTATATATTTGATTTACGTACCACATTTTTCAGGTAGAATAATTTGAATAAGTTGTTACATAAAAATTATCCTTCGATGTAAAAAGGCTCCATGCTGAAGGGATCTCATATGTTATTGCAATGTGAGTCACGATCGTGCATTTATCTGGATGAGTGATTCATCCAGATCTGTCAAAAATCATTTTTTTAGATGCTCAGTAACTTAAGCATTCTAATTTCAGCATTTGAAAAGATATATTGTCAGAAAGAATTTCTGAAGGTGAGCTGTGGTATTTCAGTCTGCCAGAGGACTATCATATATGAATCACTAGTATCACCATATTTATGGGACAGTACAGTAACTCATGAGGGAGCTCTTACTACTATATATCAGTTATCAGATAAACCATAATAGTTTGTGAGCTCTGCCCACCATCATGTTCCTTTTGGCTCTATGTAGAAATGTTCTATTAAATAAACCTGTAAAATTAGCTGAATTTGTATGCCATACATGATCTGATATTAGTAAGTGTCTTATTATATCATCTTGCTTGCCTGCAATAGAGTCAGGGTATTCTTGATGACACATTCTCATTTCCCTAGATGGGAAGAAAGGAGGTAGTTGGCCCAGGACTGTTGAATTGGTTTACCATTTGTGACTCAGTGTGTGGCGTTTATTCTTAGACAGTTGCTGCAGAGAGGCTAATGTTGGCCAGTAATAAGAGTTGACAATGTTTGTGCTACACTTTCCCAATCCTTCAAGATTCTGATTCAACCTTAGAACATGTTATAAAGCTCTAAAGTAGGGTGACCAGACAGCAAGTGTGAAAAATCGGGACAGGGTGTGGGGGGTAATAGGAGCCTATATAAGAAAAAGACCCCAAAATTGGGACTGTCCCTATAAAATCGGGACATCTGGTCACCCTACTCTAAAGTGGTTATAAAATGTTATTATCATGCACAGGTTTAGGAGGAAAGCTCTTCAGAGCTCCCATCACAAGAACATAGTCTTCACTCTGACAAGGATTTATTCCAACAAGCTATTTGAATTTTATCCCCTTGAAGAGTGTGTGTTGTTTAATCTATAGAGTGCAACAAATTCTACTTGAATTTTGCAAGGCTTCTGTGAAGAGCATGGGACTTATCTGTATTTATTATTATTGTTATATTTCTATATCTGTGTATCTAGCTTTAGTGATTGCTTTGTGGGCTAAAAGATAAGTAAAGGGTAAATCCTACAGGAAATCCCAAACAATTTGTAGATGGAATTCAATTGCTTGGTGCTCAAAACAACAATCCCAGGAATGCACCATTTAAAGTTATCCGCCAGAGAAATGCATAAACCAGTTTGGTCAGTTTCAGGGGCCCTACTCAAAATCCCAGGACATCTTCAAGCAGGAACTCTGAACAAAGGGACTTTGGAATGAATAAAAAGAAAACCTGTGACTTGAGAGATACAGAATGGAACATCAGACTGTCTGAGAGGCAGCAGTTGCTGGGGCAACCTGTCTCACCCAGCCCAATGCTTGGCGGGCCTGGGTTAAGTGGAACCTTCTTAAACTCGCAAGGGAAGTCTAGGCTTAGGTAAGACTCTGTGTTTAGGCTTTTCTTATTTTTAACCCTGTACTCTAATTGCTATGGGTCTTTGGATTAATAGTATGTTTGTGTCACTTTAATCAGTCACAAGCTCCAAATACAGTTAGACCTGTGTCATTATAACAGTTGGTAAAAATGGGGACTGTAGCCAGAGACCCATTTTAAGCATGAGATGAATTGTGAAATTCCACCCTGAGAAAAAGATAGTTACTTGCAGGGGTGCACTTGAGAGGGACTGCAAAGGGGTCTAAATTGCTACTTGCCCTGTAACCATGACAGCTTCAAAAAGAAAAATGTGTTCTGAAATGGCGGCAAAACATACCCTTTTATGTCCTTCAATTTTAAATCTCCTGAACTACTTGCTTTCTCTTAAATCTGGATTACCTTTTCCACTTGTTAAAGTGGTGATCACGGATCCTTGTTTTTTCCCCCCACCTGTATGAAAGCTTTTTCCAGAGTCTGGTCCATGTGTTCTCTCCAAGTGGAGACTCACCCACACCAGCCTGTCCAACGTTAGTCTCAATGACAGATGTGTGACTGGGCACTGCATCATCTGTGCAGCCTTTACTTTGTAGGTCTGGAAGTACAGGAAGCCATAGTGCTCTGTTCCTTCTTAAAGAGGCTTTGAAAAGGACCAGATTGAGTCTCAGCCCTGGAGTGCTTTGAGTTCCTTGATTCACAAGCTGATGGATGGATCCAGTGCAAATCAGCATACTCAATGCTTCATTTGTATCCTGGTTCTTCACAGAATGAAGTGGAGGAGGTTCAGTAGATCAAAACTAAAGCCGTCCTTCGGGGATATTAAACTATCTCTTTCTTTTCCTTCTTTTCCATGCCCTAGTAGAGTCTTGCCAGTAATCCTCCCACTGAAAGATTTGCATTGATAAACTCTTCTTCAGAACAGAATGGATGTGAGGTCTTTCGGGGTTGGCCTCGCTGTCATGAGACAAAGTCTGAGGTTCATCCTAACAGAA